GGCCCGCCGCTGCGTCTGGTCGGGGATCCGTACCTGCCGGCCGCAGGTTGCCGGCCGGTTTTCCGGTAATTGCACGGGAAGGAACGTCGAGGTGCGTGCCTGTCGCTGGATTCAACATCATGCCGTTTTATCCTTAGCAAAACTAATACGATATGCAAGAAATGTGCCCAAAACGTGAAGCAGTTTGGAACGGTGAGTAGGCTCTTAGTTCTAAATATTAAAGTTAACTTCATTCACGTTTTAAATTAAAAAAAAGTTCTCTTGCAACTAAATTTCTTATTTTCTCCTGGGGGAAAAAAAAAAAAGACCACCTTTCAGAAAGGCGATGAAAATTACTGATGGCTCGTGATTTCCTTTGTGGCTTACAGTTTCTTCTTTCAAATTTAAATCCATTGTGATTATAAGTAGCTTAACAGTTATGAATAACTGCAATACAGCCATTCATAGTAAAAACAGTGTTTGTTCACTATATGCATGTCAAGTAATTCTCTGCATATATCTCATAAACGCACACTTGCCGGCGGAAAGACCGTTAACTGTGTTTTTAAATGAGCAGTAAATGTGAAAATCTAATAATACCACATACTTTACATTATGTAAGTCTTAAAATTTTTAAATGCGTGTTAATCATGTTAAGCTATTAAGTAGAAAAGACGTTACGAGTATTAGCTGTATGCATGTTACTTTGCATTTTCTCATCTCATTCTTCAGCTTCAGTTCTGTTAGAAAACTGAATTTTTTTAATATATGAATACACACATTGTGTCTGAGCACCCTGCAGATACTAGTTTACAGAAGGTATCAAGATAATCTTGTTGTGAAACAAAAGTGCTTATCTTCTATATCTTTGACATAAACCATATTGGGTGAAATTCAGCTTATTTGAGAAACGTAACAGCTGCTGGTATGTAGTCAGGCATTTTGTGAATGTAAATGTAAACTGAACCAAGAGCACTATTTCAAAAGCTTAAAACGTAGCAAAATGAAGTGTAAGACGGATCCAACAATGGGTTTTTTTTATCAGTAGTTCATCAAAAAAAGGAACTGCATTGACAATAATCAGTCATTTTTAACCTATAAAAACTGACAGCAATTTTATTTTCCAGCAGCATATTATTCTAGTTGAGTGTATGATAGAAAAGTTGATAACCTGACCTGATGGTACCTGAAGTTGGGTTTTTTTTAAGTTTCCGGCAGAATTGCAGGGATCAGGATACTAATCTTGAAGTTGTAGGGTTATCAAATCACTGAGTAGGACAAGGGAGAGGGATGTTTTCAGAAACTGCCAGTCTAAAAAATGACTTGATTCCTCTTCTTCTAATTTTTTTAAGTAATTTCTTAATGGAAATGTCATCATATTTTTAAAAAATTAAAGCAGAGGCAGGGGTAAAGGTGTGTTTCAGACACCTCTACATTTGTGTCACGTTGTATGTGTTTCTTTCATTGAATACGTACTTGGGTTTTCATGGAAAGTCCAGACCATTTTTGACCATTGAAGGAGCATCATTTTAGGGGAAAAGTTTAGTACTGAAGATAGAAATGGTAGGAAAAAGGTTCTTTAAGGTAGGTTATAGGAAGCCCTGGTAGTTTAGAAGCATCATTGTGTGATTTGAAATACCTGTGTTGATTACAGGAACTGCAAATGTATTAACTTTAGTTCAACTTACCTGTTTTTCAGCCCAAGCCTTGTCAGTATTGTAACATTATTGCAGCATTTATTGGCACAAAATGTCAGCGTTGCACCAACTCGGAGAAGAAGTACGGCCCACCTCAGACATGTGAACAGTGCAAACAGCAGTGTGCTTTTGATCGAAAAGAGGAGGGAAGAAGGAAGGTAGGCTTTGTTCCACAGCTGTGATGGCTTAGGCTGGCAACAGGCAACGTTCCTTCATAAGAGAAAGGTTAACAGCAATGTATCTTAAGTTCATTAATATTAGATTAAAGTTGCTCTGCTTTACAATATTTGAATTAAATTTTTCAACTTGTAATTGTTATGTTAGCTACTGAGCTAACTTACTTTAAATGAAATCGCTCTTTTTAAAAATAAGTTTAAGCGTTAGCTGACAGTCGTAGCTGGGGAACAGAGGTCAAGCAGCTGAACAGTTCCTGGTGCTTTGATTTTTTAATTTTTTTTTTTTTAATCTTTATTGTCCCATCTGTTGGATCTTATGTATGTCTGTAACTTGAATCTGTCACGTTAACTCTTCTGATTTGCCTGCCTTGCCTTAACATACAGCACCGGAGAGGTAGACTGCTCTGAGCAGCCCTTTGTGTTCTGTTTTCTTAAATAGCTTTGGTGAGTGCCACTTTCTCATTCCAGAAGGTGCTGAGGAAATGACCTCAAAAACCTCGTGCCTGACCCCAAGAATAATGCTGTTTTTACAGAAGAATTTACTTGGTACAAGTAACACGTTGGCTGGACATCTTGATTCTGCCTGGAATACGATGGGTTGAGAGAGGGTACATGGTGTCTAAACCAAAAATGATTTGTCCCTTTAAAAAGTTATTGTCAGTTCTGTGATATAGAGCAAGTCCAACATTGGCTAACACTGCTTTCTAGCGTAACTTTAAATGACAAAAAGAAGTGGAATAAGATTCACTTTACTAAAAGATAACGTGCATATGTTGGAGATATGGTAGTGCTGTTTCATACCAAAGAGATGTCTGGATTTTTCCCAAAGATAACACATGAAGTGAAACAAATTTTTCTTGCAAATGTTGAAGTACATCTTTCTAATGCGAGTATACCTGGAAAAAAACCCTGCTATGAATTATTTCCCAAAAGGTTGATGGAAAGTTGTTGTGTTGGCTCTGCACACTGTCCTACAAGAGAGTGCTACAGAAGACAAAAGAACAGAGGAAGAGCCTAGGATCTTCACATTCTAACTCCTCATCTTCATCTCTTACTGAGAAAGACCAGCATCATTCAAAACACCACCACCATCACCACCATCATCATCGTCACAGTAGCAGTCATCATAAGTAAGTATGTCAAAAATTAAAGTAGCTGTTGGTACCTCTTCCTCTTCTGTGTTCTGTTAGTACTGAGATCAAATCAAAGGAAATAAGAAATGCTGTTTAAAATAGGGCATCAAAAGCAGTGGCAGAATATTGTTCTTCCATGGTCTGTCAAAATCCTTGTATTCTTACAGTTTGGATGAAGGGAGGTCAGCAAAAAGCAGAAATTCTTGGTGATCATCAAACTAAACGATGTTAAAATTGGTAGCAAATCTAGAAAAGAAACCCACAGATTGGCTACAGAGCAAGTTATTTAGGGATTAACTTGAGTTTGGCTTTCTAAGCAGTAACTGCCATGTGATAACTGCTATTTTACATGCATTTACTATGGGTTAGAAGGTGTGTATTAGCAGTGAGCACAGAACGGCTACTTTGCTCAGAATCCTCACCCTGACATACTTCATCCTGACTTGTTTGTGTGCACATACTTGCAGTTAAATGGAGAAGCAAAAGCAACAGTGTTGGATCACTCTCAGTCTAGGACCAGTTTGTATCTCTCTGCTAGTTTTTATACTCAGATCCTGCTGGAACACGCAGTTTCTGAGTGGCTGTTAGACATAGGAAAATCACACTGCCAGTTCAGTTACTGGCAGTCTGATAACATTTCACACAGTTTTGTCCGATCTTCTGCAGCTTTTCTAAGCATGCCATCTCTGGCCATCGGCAAGCAGCATACCAAATTTAATGTACATACTAGTTTATCTAGTTATAAATCCTGGGACTGATTTGGTTTTTATGCTAGTATAATAGTAGTCATAATTCTTATTTTCATCGGTAGGCTTATGGCAGGGTAACTTTAGAACTACTTACTTTTTATTTTTGTGTTGGATAGTGCTGCAACGGTAATGACCCTGACCCCAGACACACAAACAGTTTCATTCTAAGCTTCACTTTTCCAGTGCCTATAATTTTCTGTTTTGACTGAAACTTGCTTGACTAAATGTGACTTAAAGATAGAAGCAAAATAAGCTGGAATGATATTGGGAATGAGGAGAATACTCCATACGTACCTTCACTTAAAAAAAAAAAAGATGATTTGGGGTTTTTTAGGAATTTGAAGAGAAAATTATTCTTGTCACGTAGAGAGTCATTGTACTGTTCGTGTTCTCTCGAATCTCTGCAGCAAATCAAGTTACAGCAAGCTAAATCTAATGTAATGCATGTGGCAGAGATATAGTAAGGATTAAAGGAAAAAAGTTAGCTCTGCTACAGAATAGAGCTTCTAATATACTCAAGAGTTATGAAAGTAAGCGTATCTCTATAAAGATCACGGTGTTCCTGGTTTGACACCTTTTTTTCTTTATGCTGCCATGGGTCCATTGCTTCTGGTCCAATAAACACAACTCTTTCCTTGTCCATTTCAGTTACAGTTAAGATGAGACAATAGAGACAATGAGATAGAAGTACAGGTTCATTGAACTATTCCATTCAGTGCAATCTTCTACGTTCTACCGTTCCTATATCAATGGTGTTTATTAGTTGCTTTTGAAATTATTGAAAACAAATGTTTAGACCTGAGAAGCAGTTATTTTCAGGGATCCAAAACTGAACTTTGCTCTTATGCCACCACATAAGCACCACTTCAGGTAATGTTCATATGGCAGAATGGGAGTCCCTGGAATGCTGCTTTAGACCAGTTTGCCGAGTACAAGATTAGCAACATAAAGTTCACAAAAATTGGGATGTACCAGCAAAAAGGTTTAGCCATCAGTCTTGAAGTCTGCCCCTTGGGTCTTACAATAGTGTAAGCATTTAGCCAAGAAATATTTTTATAGCATCCTGACATAGTAAAGAGTGGTCACAAATATGACAGATCATACAACTGTCCAGCTGAAAATTAGTAATTGTTAACTTTATTTTTAAAAAAAATGGGGGGGGGGGCGGGCAGGCGAGCGGGGATTTTTCTGACGTACAGATACCATTCACATAAACTTAGAAATAATGGCATGTTTGGTCGGTTACCAAGTACATTTCACATATTTCAGAATCAGCAGTCTGAGTCCAGAACAAGATCAGGGACTATGGAAACAGAGGTAAATATTATATTATTTATTAAATTCCTTTTAATTTATCTCGCAGTTTTTATTTAAAGGACTTTTTTTTTTTCTTGCATTTCTGGCTAGTCTCTAGCATTCCAGCTAGGAGCATGAGTTAGTTATTTTACATGTACCAAATGGTGATATTAGAGAGTTATATAGTATGAGGCTTTAGGTTTACATTTTGTTTGATTTCAGCCATAAATCCTCTGCAGCTATTCAGAATGAAACTCCAAAGAAAAAACCCAAACTGGAATCCAAGCCATCAAATGGAGATAGGTAAAGTTATATTTTTGTAAAGCTGAGCCATTTCAACCAAATAGAGCACTGATTTGTGGCCAGTTGCTTCTTTTTTTTTTTTTTTTTTTTTTTTTTTGCTTGCAAGGCACGGGGGGTGAAAATTTTTTCCCCTC